ACTGTGTGCAACTTAGAGTGTGGAATGTTTCATTGAAATCAGTTTAGATTTAGATATAGCTCCCATATATATTTTCGTCCGATTTTCAGTAAATGGTGCACCAATGATCCAAAACATGGTCGACTGCCACAAAATTTTGCACAACGAACTGAAGTTAGTATAGCCTACTGTGTGCAAAGTTTTGTTACAATCGTTTCAGATTTAGATATAGCTCCCATATATAGTGTCGTCCGATTTTCAGTAAATGGTACACAAAAGCCCCAAAACATGACCGATTTGCACAAAATTTTGTACAACGTATTGAAATTAGTATAACTTACAGTGTGGAAAGTTTCATTGAAATCAGTTTAGATTTCGATATAGCTCCCATATCTATTTTCGTCCGATTTTCAGTAAATGGTGCATCAAAGATCCAAAACAGGGTCGACTGCCACAAAATTAGTATAGCCTACTGTGTGCAAAGTTTTGTTGAAATCGGTTCAGATTAAGATATAGCTCCCGTATATAGTTTCTTCCGATTATCAGTAAATGGCGCACAAAAGTTCCAAAAAATTACCGATTTGCACAAAATTTTGTACAACTATCTGAAGTTAGCATAGCCTAACGTATATAAACTTTTGTGGATTTAGATTTAGCTCCAATATATATTTTCGGAGTTTTTTTTGTGCCAGTATCAAACGACGGCAGAAAGGCTTCTCAACTCTAAACGTGTTTTTCTCAAAACAGTGATTTTAAAAATTGTGGTCACGATACCTCAAAAATATATTTTTTTGAAAAAATTGGTGAAGGGTATTATATAGTCAGCATCGTCCGACTTTACTACTTTTCTTGCTGGTTTATATTAAAATAGTTAACTGATTTGTTCCGTGTTTTGGAGTTGGCTCCATATAGCTGCATTCCATCATAATATGCCCTACATAGTATGAAATTTTAAAACGATTTATTCGATTTAGCCATATGTTGCAATGATTTTTCCTTCGGAGGATATTGACATAAAAAGTAGAACGTTATGTTTGAGAATGAAAACCACCTTCCCATATTTTAATTAGCATGAAGGAAAGTATTGAGATTCAAAAGTAAAATATTAGTTTGGAACTTGAGCTATATCGGTCCTTAATTAGGAATAAACCCCTCATATAATGAACGCACCAAATATTCGCTAATTCCTACACAACATTGTCAATATTGGTCCCGCTTTAGTAGCACCAAATATTCGCTAATTCTTACACAACGTTGTCAATATTGTTCCCGCTTTAGTATATCTCATATAAATTTGCCTCTAAATTGCAGTATTTCACCATACCTTGCGTTAATAGTATAGGTCAACATTTTGGGGTTTTGAGATTGCTGAAATTTGTATTTGGTTCACAACAATCGATTGGTAAATTGTCGTTACAGGTTCACTTTTTAGTGTGTTCCTTAGGTATTCATTTCATTTCTGTCAGTAATCCTGTGATGGAGGGTATCCAAAGATGATCAATGAGCCATTTAGACTCGTCTCTAAGAAAAAATAATAGGCAGGACAATGTAAAAATATAATAGGGCAGGACAATGTGTTGAGAGGAATGTTTACCCATACCTCAAGAAATTCTTAAAGAGGTTGGGAATTAAAGGTACACACCTTTTGCTTGTTTAATTAAATACTTTTTAATTGGCTCTAGACATTCTATAATAACAGTTCCCTTTACATATTTCTTTAATAAATAAAACACAACAATTTAAAATATTTATAATTCACATTTATTTATAATAAAATTCACTGGTATTCTATTTATTTTAATTTTAATAATAAAATTTAGAATAAAACTATATTCTAGTAACTTTACATATTTGCAAAAAGTCGTGTAAGAATTATTAGCATTATCGGTTAGATTATTAAACTAATTATTTATAATTAAGTTTAGTTAATTCATACAATTTGTAGAGAACTTATTTCGATAAACCTAATGGTATTTTTTATTTTTACTATTACTATCATTAGTTTAAAATTAGTAATTATTTTGGTACTTCCACATTTTGTTTTGAATTCTTTTTTTTTCTTAATGATAACAAAAAAAAATATTTCATACTAATTGAATAACAAATATTATTCTATTCTAGGTTTAATGTTGAAAATGTTCTTTTTTTTTGAAAATAAAATTTTTGTAAGGGAGATTGGTTTTGGGAGTTTATTTTTGTGAAATTTACATAGAATTCTTTAAGACGACTAGAAATATTGTTATTGTATGTATTTATTTTTTCATAGAGTTGAAGTATTTTATTTATTTAATAGATTTACTTTTATGTATATTTTATAGACGATAGAAAAAGACCAAAGCTCATTGTTAACAATTATGTTGTATTTATAAAAAGTTAGGAAAGGGTTTCTCGTTATATTACAATGGGTAAGGGTTCTAATAAAATATCTCGCATTTAGAAATTATGATAATACAAAAAGTTTCAACAATGGATGATGTCAAGATTATGTCCGATACCGGGAAAATATTTAATTGTGTATACAGTAAAATACAATAAACGCATATGTCGATCTTAAACGACAAGAATAAATCGTTGAACTTTAATCTTTGTATGGCGATATAGCACTATCCCAAAAACGGCGATTGATTGCGTTCGAAAGGCATTTTTGGGCATTTCTTTCGTCAGTACACTTTCGATATAGCATGAACACCTAATCGTAGGAAATGTTGGTTCTATTTCGATGCCGTACACTAATGTCGCTTGGTGCAAAAAAATTTGTAAACACGTAAAAAATTCGTTAATTTCTGTCAAGGCGAACTTTTTATACTCTCCACCATGAGGTGAACATTGTAAAATGCTGCCAGTAGAAAACATTCAGTGTAGAAGATTTGGTTAGGACCGAGAATGACGGGTGTCGATTCGGTTAGAAAATGTACAAATGACAATCAAAATACTTATAAGGGGGCTGAACCTATAACCAAATGAAAAAAACCACATTTCAGAAACCGTCAACATGAATATCATGAGATATGGTCCCCATTATATAGGATTAATAGCGAATCGAAGTGATTGAAATTTTTAAAATCCTCAAAATACCGAACATTTGTGGCAATTTTCATATGGGTGCTTTATCGTGGTAAATTTCTGTCAGGAGATAATGAAATATTAAACTACAGACTCTCAGATTGGAAAATTGGGCTTGGACCTTAAGGGTTGGTACCGTTGTATGGGGGTTTTCCAAAGCAATGTATTGATAATTATTGGTAAGAACCCAATGACAAATTAGAGCCACATGGGTATAAAAACATACTCAAAATACCGAATAAATGGGTGTACCGTTGTATGGGGGCTATACCAACAATTGCAGTATTGGGGTTATACCAAACTACTGAATTACAGCCATTTTGGGTGAGCAGCGTGCCCATACTCCCCAAAATAACGAATTTTTGTGGGATCCGTTATAGAGGATCTAAAAAGCAATATAATTCGATAATTTTTGGAAGAAATGCTTTATTTCAAAATATAAAATTACTGGCAATTTGGGTGAAAAACATTTTCAAACTTGCCGAGCATTGAGAGGCCGAAAATGCCGAACATTGAGAGTTACCGTAATATGAGGGCTACCCTGAAACATGGAACAATATTTCTCATTTTTTGGTAGCTATATTTTGTACCCAATCCTAAAATTCAAATAAAAAATGACAGCCAATTTGGTTGAAAAATGTGTCCAAACTTCACAAAATGTCGAAATTTTGGAGGTACCGTTATATGGGGACTACCCTAAAAATGAGGAGAACAAATCAATACTAAACATCATAGGAGTAGTAAAACTATCATATCAATGGCCTATCCTATTTCCATCGTGTTCTCAACAGAATTTATGGGTTCTCCGGTGAATATTTCTAGAATTTAATATACGACTTATAATGGTGGGTGTAATAATACGTCACATTTGACGAATCATAAATCTATATGCGTTAATCGGGAAACAATATTTTTGAAACACATTCCGCTTGATTAACGTAGGAGTTCTATTCGGAGGAGAGGTTCAAAAATCGAACAAGACAAGGCGAGATCAAACCAAAAACCGATCAAAACGTGAAATAGTGAGGACTGTGCGGGGTAACTCAACCCCATACATACATACCTCGCGTATGACTTCTTTTTATTCATGTAAATCCAGAAAAAATCATCGTTAACTTTTTTCGTTACCCAAAGATGCGGTTGACGCGTTCAAAACCATGCTTTGGAGATATCACAATCGGGTTGGGAAAACTACCTCGGCAATTGGTCTGTGCGCATGAAAATATTCGCATATTCTTTATAAGGCCAAACATATACATAGTGGTTTATTAATGTTCTCACGTCATATTTCCTACATGGCGATTCGAAGGTAGATTCGATTTTTTTCTTTTATTGAGGGTAGATTTGAATATGTTTCTTTTCAATATGTTGTTATTTTTCTAGGTCATCATTATATTCGATAATTTTGAAAGGGAAGTGAATTTCATAATGTTTAATTCCTTTGTCTATTTATTAATTTGTCCATGTTATCTTTTAGGTATTTTAGGTGTATTTCGAAATGAAATGTATTTACCATTTATTAAAAATGTTATAATTTTTAGATCTTACACCGAGCAACCCCTTCCCTTTCTTTTGACATTTATTTTACATTTTATATTTTAACTATTATTTTAAGACTTTTATTTTATTTCCATATTTTTTATTTTAAAAATTTTAATTTGTTTAAAAATATTTATAGTACTATTTACAAAAAATATTAAAATTATTGTTTAATAATATTATATTAAATCAATTATATAAATTAATTAATGTTTGTTTTTTAATTATATTTAATTTTTCCTTACTAGTAGTTAGTAGTTTTTGTGCAATATTTTAATATACTTTATAATTAAAAAAGATTAGTCATTGAAATTTTCTTGTTATTTTTATAATTTTTACAAAACATTCCTTCGATCATTCTCCTCATCAGATTTGTCCCTGTCCTTCCATTTTACACGTTGTCATTGTTATTTTCAAAAAGCGCTAGAGTTTGTATGAAATCCTTTATGTAGGACCCCATTTCTGTTCAGTTACTGAACAGAAAGGGTCCCAATGACCCTCAAACCATTGGAGGCTTGATATCGACCAATGTGCTGTGATGATCCAATACGGGACTGGATGCAGCCGAATTCGAACCCAACAAATGATGGTGATGATGATGCGTGTGGGCATGCATATGAGCGTGAGGATGAGATTGCTGGTGTTGTTGTTGCTGCTGCTGCTGTTGTTGTTGATGTAAATGATGTTGTTGGGCTTGTTGATGTTGCTGCTGCTGCTGTTGTTGTTGTTGATGTTGCTGCTGCAATTGTTGATGCTGTTGATGACTAAGCATAACTGGTGAACCACTGGACATATGATGATGCGGTGACATATGCAGCCCCTGACCATGATTTTGTGTTGGAGTACCCGAGGACAACGAATTAGGAGTACCCGGATGACTGTTGCTGCCGCCTGAGTTGCCATTATTAATAGATGTGTTTAAACCATTTGAATCACCCGATTGATTATTGGGTTCTTCCGAATCACTGCACGATTCCGAGGATCCTTTCTTAATTCCCGTTCCGGTGCCATTATGGGTCTTAACATGTTTGGCCAGGTGGTCGCTACGCATGAAACGTTTATTACAAACAGGACATGCAAAACGTTTCTCCCCAGTGTGGGTGCGTAAGTGGCGCTGCAGTTCATCGGAGCGTGTAAAACGTTTACCACAGAATAGCCAATTGCAAACGAAGGGCCTTTCGCCGGTGTGCCACCTTAAATGGGCCTTTAAATGTGAGGTCTTGCCATAGACCTTACCACATCCGGGTATGTGGCAGGAGTGAATATTTTTCTTTCGCAAATGGACGCCAGCTGGACCCAGACGTTCGGCTTCTTGACAGTTGGGACAATCACAGGTGGCTCGTCCGGCATAACGTCTTTGAGATCTAGACGAGGGGGTGGTGGGTGATGATGATTGGGGTGTGGATGCCGTCGATGCGGCCGATGGTGAACTGTGTGGCAGTGAGAAGCCACCAACTCCCTGACTGGGTAACATACTCTTGTAAGTGTCCTGCAACAAATGTTGTCCCGAACCCAACAAGTGTGCCGTATTCGACAAGGAGTGACTCAATGCCGACGAATAATCTGAGCTAGCCGTTGCATAATTAGCCATGGTCGAATGCATGCCAGCAGCACCGCCCATATCCAACCAGCTGCCTGCAGCTGCGGCACTATGCATATCCCACCACCCCGTATTCACACTGGCAGCCTCAGCTGCTTTATGGGCCTGTGCTGTGACAGCATTAAAAGGCCAATCGTAAGGGTGGCGTGAATATACAGAACCAAAGGTGGCTCCCTCCACCTTACCCAACAATCCCTGATGCATGTGATGCTGATCGCCAACCATACCACCGGTTGTGGTTGATGAATTCGGATAGAAGAGATCACTGCCATACGCCGAGGGTGTGGTGACAGCAGCACAGGATGATGTTATCGGGCGACTGTAAGGATAAATGCTGAAATTATTTTCTTGATCAATTAAAATAATTCTCAAAAAAATAAGAAGAAGAACAAGATTCTATACAACAACTACAAGAGAAGGAAAAAAGAGGGAACTACGGGAGGTTTTTCTACTACCCAACCTACCTGGCTGTTATATTGACCATTGTGTTAATTCCACTGCCAGCCAGACTTCTTGAAGTCAACGAATTTCCAGCCCCAACCGATGATGACATACTAATGCCTGCCGAATGATTTGTTCCCGTTGAATTTGTCGACGATGCGGATGATGATATAGCACAGGGTGAATGTTGTCCCACCGATGCATTTGAACTGCTCGAACCTGTTGAAGTGTTATTGTTGTTGTTATTATTAGTATTATTGTTGTTACTACTGTTATTATTATTCGTTTGTGTATGATGATTGGGCGATGTTGGGCTTTTCTTCCACGGATGAAAACCCTTGCCCACAGCGGCATCGGCCAATGGTGGTGGTGACTTACTGCTCAATTTATTGCACTGGGCGGCCAACATAGCCAATGGAGTACCCCTCAAACTGGGGTGGTCCTGTAAAGAGAATGAGAGAGAAAGGGGGTTTTAGAAATGTTTATTATGCAAAAAATATGAAATATTAGAATATATATATATATATATATATATAAAATATGAAATATTAGAATATATATATATATATATATATATTTAAATAAAAATTAGATATATGTTTGATAGAAGAAAGAAGGAAAGTGATTTTTCCCCATGGTAAATGCGATAATCTCCAAAAATAATATTTTTTATATATAAATATATTTTTATTTTATTATTATGTTCTGTTGAACTGCACTTTTATTTAACCTCCGACCTGAAGAGAAATATTTTCCAGATATTGATGCTGCTGATGTCTAAACATAACTTGTGAACCACTTGACATATGTTGATGCGGTGACATATGTAAACCCTGATAATAATTTTGTTTTGCAGTATCCGAGGACAAAAAAATGGGTATACACGTATGACGATTAACGCCGCATGTGTTATCATTGTTTTGAAACCGAGAAAATAATTGTTCATAACTTTGTTAACCATTTCAGAAAAAAATCTCTTAAAAATATAGGATAGAAGCCCCAGGTGGTGAGATCATAAGTTTCGGAAAACCTCTTCGACGCCGAAAATAATGAAACATAAACAAAGTCTGGTTCGAAATGAAGCTTTTTCCGTTGGGGAAATGTAATTTCTTGGAAAAGTATTAGCTTTAGACAAGTCTGATGAAACTTTGAAGAATATTTGCTTTTATTGCTTTTCTTGTAAATCAGCTATTAATTCTATAGTTGTAGAATATTTTTTACTACAGTTAATTTTCAAAATTGTTTTCTTCATACGTTCAGATACGTTCTACAGTATTCTAAGCAGGACCTACAAAGCTAACAGAGTTTGTACGAATGTTTTTTGAGCGCTACTTTACTTTTTTTTTGATATAGACAATTTTTTTACATAAGTTAGATGAAGCTCTGAATTATTTCGCATTTTGCGAAATATTATGCAAAAGATACTTTATGTCCCACAAACAATATGTGTTTTGTTTAGATAAGTCTGACGAAACTCTGAAAAAATTCGGAAGTGCTCTCCCAGGGATTTTTATTCACTATATATCACTTTAAAAATGTACAGCCATGGATTTTAATAGCATAACAAGTATACACATAATAATTATAATAAGGATCTAAGTTGAGAAATCTTATTCGAAATACGGTACTGTTTACTGAACGGAATTTAACGTTCGATGGAAATATCAGACAGTCAATCATTCCAGTATTTAAACAAAAAAGTTATAATGCTTCAAACGCCGTATACACCAGAGTTGGCCTTCGCTGACTTTTTCCTCTACCCAAAACTGAAAATCAAAATAGGAACTTTTGGCAATACCAAAATAGAAATGAGACTATAGACCCTACAAACAATATTTATTTATATATATATATATATATAAAATATGAAATATTAGAATATATATATATATTTAAATAAAAATTAGATATATGTTTGATAGAAGAAAGAAGGAAAGTGATTTTTCCCCATGGTAAATGCGATAATCTCCAAAAATAATATTTTTTATATATAAATATATTTTTATTTTATTATTATGTTCTGTTGAACTGCACTTTTATTTAACCTCCGACCTGAAGAGAAATATTTTCCAGATATTGATGCTGCTGATGTCTAAACATAACTTGTGAACCACTTGACATATGTTGATGCGGTGACATATGTAAACCCTGATAATAATTTTGTTTTGCAGTATCCGAGGACAAAAAAATGGGTATACACGTATGACGATTAACGCCGCATGTGTTATCATTGTTTTGAAACCGAGAAAATAATTGTTCATAACTTTGTTAACCATTTCAGAAAAAAATCTCTTAAAAATATAGGATAGAAGCCCCAGGTGGTGAGATCATAAGTTTCGGAAAACCTCTTCGACGCCGAAAATAATGAAACATAAACAAAGTCTGGTTCGAAATGAAGCTTTTTCCGTTGGGGAAATGTAATTTCTTGGAAAAGTATTAGCTTTAGACAAGTCTGATGAAACTTTGAAGAATATTTGCTTTTATTGCTTTTCTTGTAAATCAGCTATTAATTCTATAGTTGTAGAATATTTTTTACTACAGTTAATTTTCAAAATTGTTTTCTTCATACGTTCAGATACGTTCTACAGTATTCTAAGCAGGACCTACAAAGCTAACAGAGTTTGTACGAATGTTTTTTGAGCGCTACTTTACTTTTTTTTTGATATAGACAATTTTTTTACATAAGTTAGATGAAGCTCTGAATTATTTCGCATTTTGCGAAATATTATGCAAAAGATACTTTATGTCCCACAAACAATATGTGTTTTGTTTAGATAAGTCTGACGAAACTCTGAAAAAATTCGGAAGTGCTCTCCCAGGGATTTTTATTCACTATATATCACTTTAAAAATGTACAGCCATGGATTTTAATAGCATAACAAGTATACACATAATAATTATAATAAGGATCTAAGTTGAGAAATCTTATTCGAAATACGGTACTGTTTACTGAACGGAATTTAACGTTCGATGGAAATATCAGACAGTCAATCATTCCAGTATTTAAACAAAAAAAGTTATAATGCTTCAAACGCCGTATACACCAGAGTTGGCCTTCGCTGACTTTTTCCTCTACCCAAAACTGAAAATCAAAATAGGAACTTTTGGCAATACCAAAATAGAAATGAGACTATAGACCCTACAAACAATATTTATTTTGCTTAGACATGTCGGACTAAACTCTGAAAATTTCAGAAGAAATTTTTATACCCTACACAACTATGTTGTCAGAGTATTATAGCTTTGTGCAGCCCCAAGAGTTTGTAACGCCGCGAAATATTGGTCCTAGACTCACCTTTAAGTATACCGATCGTCATGTCTCGACTAGCTGAGTCTATCTAGACTTGTGTGTCCGCACGTCCGTCCGTCTGTCCATTATATTTTGTAAACACGATACAGGCCACAGTTATGAACCAATCATCACGAAATTTTGCATGTAGGATGGGTTCTGGCTAATGCAGACCCCTATTGTTTTTGGAAAATATCGGTTAATATTTAGGGGATGAAATGGACCAAAAACTTTATTTTTGTCGGTTTTTCTGGTCGCTCCAGAGGCCGCAATGATGACCCAAACACCGCGAATTTTTGCATGTAGAAGGGGATCGGACACCGATAAAATGAAGGTGTTCTGCTACGTTTGAGGATATATAAGAAACATCGAAATAAGAACTTTTGGCTATACCAAAAAGCACGTTTCAGAGAAGTTTCGAGAATTGGAAAAATTACTGACATACACTGTGCAGCACTAAAATCTTGAACCAATCAGGACAGACAAAATCTGAAAGCTTATGATTGTAGAAGCAAAACCCTAGCCACAAGGGGGTTTCTACCACCATCATAAGCTTTCAGATTGTGGTGATTTTGATTAGTTCAAGATTTTCAAGTTGAAAAATGTGTCGCAGTGTTATATATCCGATGGGCATTACATTGGAGTGGGCAATATTGCTAATGAAGAAGAAATAAACGGATCATTTGTTGAACAGACTACGACGGTTACTTTTTTATCAGACGTATACTAGGTATATAAGAAATTATTACGAGTTGAGAATGCGTATTCAAAGGAAATACAATTTTACAAAGACGAATTTTAATTTTTGATAAAAATATTAGACATTTAAGCGATTATGCCTCAACCGTATATCTATCTACTTTTTTTGAAAATTGAAACTATAGAATTTTCTTAGCAGGTTAGTTAACAATCCCTCAAAATTATCGGAATCTAAAATTGTAATATTTAAGCAGAACTATTTTATTATGAGTTCCAATAAGAAAGCCGTATAAAAAGTTGTAGGTTTTGAAAAATATGGGCATACACTTTTTATATCCCCTCGTCATTTCAGTATAAAGTCATCAATATTTTATTTTTTGTTTATATTACACTTTCTTAAAGATTTTGACATTTTTTCGACATTCAAAGTTGTTGCTTTACATTATTTTTTTTTTTATTACGATAAGTGACTGAATATTTTTTGCAATATTTATATTCCAATTCAATTTTATTAACTTGGTTCGATAACTTATTGTTTTCTTATTTCACACCTTTAGTTTTATTCATTTACACATTTTCTCACGTGCCTGTGGTTATTAAGTTCTTTGTTTTAAAATTGCTTTTATTTCTTGTTCTTAAATGGTTTCTTAATTAACTCAATTCGCAGAAATTCACAAATCTTCGAACATATTCGCACACACAACTGGCACTTATTCACAATATAGCAACACACACAAAAGCAATATAACCCAAATCAATTTCTTTTCATATATATTCGTTTTTAATTTGATTTATTTAATTTGTTGTCCAATTGCTTTTTTGTAGTTGTTGTTATTTTCTTAGTTCCTCATTTCCCCCAATTTAAGATGGTGTAAAAAGACGTATTGGCGGTTTGTTTTATTCTCTGTGTGTTTTTTGTTGATTTTGTTTACCTCTGCCGTTGATGATGTCGTCGATTGAAGCACAACCATTCTCGTTCACAACTCTTTTGTTTCTGGTTCCAAATAATTCCAATTCTTTTGAAAAAGGAAGTTATTAGAACACAACAAAGCACCCTTCACAATGTGGCCGGATCAGAACCATACACACATCCACATCGAACCAATCAACCAACCATCCATCCATCCAGTTATCCACACACTTTGTTTTGAGACAAGGGTGAGTGAGTATCTCCGGCAAATGGAAGAATGAGCAGCAAACAAAAGTGTAGCCGGAGTAGTTGTTGTAGACATGCGTATGAGTTGCCCCGTCGTCGTCGTATAGGAAATAGAGTAGAGATACAAAACAACAAAGAACGAAATATCCCGCTGTGAGTTCGTGTACTTGTCTCTTTCTTTTAGGCCGATTTCATATTGAACAAAACAACACCAAATCCACCACCACCGCCACACTTACTACCACTACAATGTATGGTCGATTCTCTTTTTTGGAAGGGGAAGGGGCGGAGTGTTCTTCTTGTTCTTGTTGCCAGAGCGGAAGCAATCTTAATCCGGCGCTCACTTGTTTTTTTTTTGTTGTGTTGCGTTGTTATTGCCGCTTCAATAAAATTAATGTTTCATTTCATTTGAAATGATATCTCGGCAACCTGGAGTAGCACCTCATGTGGCGTTCGTTTCATCGTTCGCTCATTCATTCATGTTTAGTGTTCTCAACTCATTATTCTCTTTTTATGCTATCCTCTTTGATTCCTTTATATCCTGCCGAACAGATTTGTTTCTTTTTGTTCTCCTTTTTTTCTTAATTTGTCTAATTTTTTTTTAAATTGATGTTTTCGCTCATTTTCAAAGATTCAATTCGATTTGTTTTAGTTTTTCTTTGGAACTGTATCCTGATATGAAACAACACCGATTTGAAACACACTGTGTTGGTAGTCCACTGTGTGTTCGTTCTTATCAAACAAATGCCACAGAACATGTGTTTGATAGTGACATGTAGCGCCAGACTTGTGATTGGATTAGTTTTTTTGAAAACTAATTAGTTTTTTTGTTTAGTTCCGACAACGTTGTGTGAGAAATTTGCAAAGGATAGAAGGATTTTAGCAAGATGTGTATTGTGTGGGAAGTTTTAAGGATTTTTTATTTGATAGTAAGATTAAGCAACATTATTTGAATTTGACATGTTTTTCAGTCGAATTTGATCTAATTTTAATTTAAAAAAGACAATAAAACCTAATTAATAATGGTAATTTTTGATAATCTGAATGGACTGAGAGTTTTTAAACAGCCACTTGTGGAATAATTTTTTTATGAATATATCATATTGCAATTCTTGCATTGCTATAGAAAAATCCTTGGCCTTCTAGGGACTATTTTTTCTGTAGGAGTTTTGCCCATTTTCGTGAATGGGAGGTTTTGAGGATTACAAGATTTTAAAAATACGGAGGTGTATTCGCTCAAAATTTATATAAAATATAATTTTGTTTTTGCAAAATAGTCAGGCTGAATCCCAGTTTGTTGTTTTTTAATAAAAAACGAACTTCTCATTGGGGTCGTATCGCTGGTAACGTAATAACTTCGAATTGTCACAAGAGACATTTGGGTATGAAATGTTTTTTGTAAAGAATTTGTAAAGGTTGCTGGGGAGAATATCCCAACAAAAAACTAAGGGAGCTGATGAGGATCAGTGGGGAGATCCGAAACTATAGTCTTCTCTGCCTTACCCCTCGGCAAACAATTTATAAAAAAACAAACTGGGATACAGCCTGACTATTTTGCAAAAAAAAAAAAAAAAAATACATATGGTATCCCAAAAAATAACCTACCAACACTACTAATAAAATATAATTAAAAAAAAAAAAAAAACTGAGAGAACTAATCTGAGTAAAAGAGGAATATTTATTGTATATATTGAAATTATAAATAAATTGTAGATTAGGACAAGTTTGATTAAAATATTTCGATGATTAAAATTATGTTTTTGTGTTTGTCTTATACAGTCAGATATTTTACTCTATTTATATGAGAATAATTATATTTTTTTAATTGTTGATTTTTTAACAATTTATTTATTGACATTCTTGATATAATATTAGGATATACATAGTTAATGTTTAGAAAAAATATCGGATACTGCATTCGCTACATATGAGCTTGAGTGAACCGATATGCTGCATATTCGAACTCGATAAAGAGTTAAAAATATTGTGATATTCGAAGTTTGGATAATATAATATATTGTTCGCATAATAGTATTTCTTAAATCCCTTTTTTGTGGCAAATTAACCGATATTGGAGACTATCGAACTTGATAGAAGATCTAAAGGAATATCAAGATTTGAAAAGTTATTACAAACACGATTAATTCCTTTGTCTGTTATAGTGCTTGTCAGCCAAATAGAGTAATATTTCTATTGGAGTTGGAAATGTCATTTCATAACAATTTCTCCAATTCATTTATAATATTTTAAAAGTGGGCATAACTAAAGCAACAGAAATTTCGAACGGAATAAATGACCTGTATTTTTTTTTAATAAAAGTAAATTTAGCTAGTAATCGACAGGTATTGAATATATACCTACGATGCATTGAATCTATACGACTCTCAATTTGATCATTGTATATACTATTACTCGTATCTTTAAACTTTGGGAAGAGATTGTTTGTGAATCTCTTTGATTTTTGTAATTTATGAAACTCCAAAGATTTTTCTATAGGTTGAAGATCTGATGATTGTGCTGGCCATTATAAATCGCTGATTTTTACTCCCGCAACCAACATTTGACATGTTTCGATGTATATTTGAGGTTATTGCCATGCTGAAACACTCAAACAATCGGTATATTTTCTTGTGCGAAGGGAACGTTTTCCAACACATTGGAATAAACAATCCGATGAATTACTTCATAAATAGATCGAACTCCATAAAAAGAAAAACAGCTCAATACAATTATATACCCATCTCCATGCTTCGCAGTACCATTGCAATACTGAGGCCTGAGTCTTTCATTTTTAAATATGCAACTTTAGTTCATCCGGGAACATGAAATTTCTCCCCTGAGTAAGATTTTCGTCACTGAGTAAGATTTCGGATCCTTTTCATGATATAAATGACTTCCTTGAAATTTTTCGGGTATGTATACCTGTTACCATAGCTCGTCTACTCTCTGTTCTTGAGGTTATATCCATCGATAACACTTATGAAATTTTACAGAGTTTTTGTGAAACTTTTCTTATTTAAAAATAAAATATGAAAAAGTATCAAACCAAATTGAAAAAGGAACAGACTAAATTGAAAAAACAGTGAACGGGAAACTTCCGACTTTTTTTAGAGTTTCTTCCCACTTGTCTCAACAAAATACTTATTGTTATGTTTGTTAAAAGCCCATTTGCATAAAATTTAAAAAAAATTTCATCTACGAAAAACGTTTAAATATATGACAATATTTCCTAAATTCTTTAGAGTTTCTTCTTTTGATTAGTTTCATTGTTGGCATGCTTAGGAACGTTGCCTTACTAAGAGATTCAATCCCATTTTTTCTCAACGAATATTTTAATTTTGCTATCATTGTTAAAAATTTCAAATTATATTGGACTGATTCTCTTACTTTTTGGAAATTTCTTCTTGGAGCTAGTCCATAAAGTCCAGTTATTGGTTTCATCAAACTTTTGTATATTTTAATATTATAATCAAACTTTGATTAAGTTCGAAGGTGCAGACTATCGGCCCACTGTTCCGGGTTTGTTTCAGTAATGCATTTTTTATACCCTTCACCACACTGTGGTACAGGGTATTATGTCTTTGTCCATATGTTTGTAACAGGCAAAAGAAATCGAGATAGACCCATGGTTCATTTTGAGAATATGCATAGAATCACTTTCTGAGTCGATGTACGCATGGCCGTCTGTCCGTCCCTGTTATTTTGTTAATAAAGTACAGGTCGTATTTATGATCCGATTTGGATGAAATTTGGCACAGTTTACTTATTTGGCCCAAGAACGAACCCTATTGAAATTGGAGAGAATCGGTTCAGATTTAGATATAGCTCCCACATATAGTTTCGTGCGATTTTATTTAAATAATGCACCAAACTCCCAATATTTGTCCGATTAGGACAAAATTTTGCACAGAGTTCTGAATTAGGTCCAGACTGATGTCTGCCAAGTTTTGTTAATATCGGTTCAGATTTAGATATAGCTCTCATAATAGTTTCGTCCGATTTTTTGGTGAATGATACACCAAACTCCCAATATTTTTCCGAGTTGAATATAGTGATTACAAACAACAAATGGTGTATGCAACGGTTACTCAATTAGGTCCATGTGTGTATATATAGCTCCCATATATAATTTGACTCAATTTCATACAAATGGTACACCAAAGAATCCAAGTCTGTCCGTTTGACATGCAATTTTTCATTGATTTCAGAATAGTATGTGTATAGGATTCTATGACCGTTCTATCTACGGGATATTGTAGATATTAAGATGACTTGCATGTACCCAAAGTGGTGAAGTCGGCCCCGTCCGACTTTTGAACTTTCCTTACTGGTTTTTGATGTTGAAGTTTTATTTTTTTTATGAGGGAAGGCTATAGTCACTTTTTAAAAAAATTATATAAAAAAGTTTAAATATTGAATCCAATTATTGTGTGCTTTTTTTTTAGGACATTTGATGGCGTTCTATATATAAACCATTTATATCAGAAAATCTTACCCTGATATACTATTTATATTTCCTAGTTCTTGACTGGGGAATAATGCGTTTTTATAGAAACTTTAAATGTTCCAAACATAAATTCCAATATCAGCATTGTTCTTGGGAACCTTCACTTCTTAAATTACAACAATAATCCTGGAATAATTATAACTTCAACTCAAGGCTTGAACAAATCCTTTTAATCCTAATATGACTCTTAAAGCCATTTTAAATACTTATTGCTTTATTCCATGTTATAGTACCTATTCATATAACGATATTAAAAAAAAATAATAAAATTTAACTACCAATCCATTTTAATTACAACAGTACCACCTACCAAACGGAAGGATATTTTCTTCAAGTAGTCACATCACAGTTATAAAACTAATTGTAATCGTTACGGTATTTAA